AAACTATTCTTTAGGTAGATATTTAGGAATAGAGGAAAAAGTTTCACAAAAAGATTTTTAAAACTAGATATAAAGAATGGTATAGGATCTAACCGCCTCCCGGTTAGCTCAATGGATAGAGCGCTGGACTGTTGTGCGGGAGGTCGAGGGTTCGAGCCCCGGCCGGACCAACACTCAGGGTCTTAAAATAATTGAGAAGAATATGCTACCTTTCTATAACATCAAGAAATGGTTAGATATTCTAGTCTTCTCGGATAGGGACGAATAAATGGAGGTCCCGTCTCCTGCAGGGTTAGGGGCAGGAGACGTTAATTTCCCACGCACGAGATTACTGTGTGATGGATGTCCTCCCCTGGGGTGGGATGGGTGGTTAACAGGACCCCCGTTGATACCAGTGTTTACTTCACTGAAGGGGTTATCCTGTATAAATATAGATGTCTGTCTGTCATAGATACTTTTCTATAAGGAAATACCCAGAACTATCATTTTTGCTTGAATAAGTAGAGTAGGTGTTTAAGTCAAGCTCTATTTTTTCTCAGTGGATGGCGGCTATTCAGACTGGACAGAATTTAGTGAATGTACAGTAACATGCGGAGGAGGTGTTCACCAAAGGACACGTGATTGTAATAACCCTGCGCCAGATAACGGAGGTCAGAACTGTGAAAGACTGGGTCCGGCGATGGAGTCTGAGCAGTGTAACGTTAAATCATGTCCCACAAAGGCCGCAGAAAATCAAGGGTAGGTTAACAACTTGGTCCCAACTCTAAAGGTATTCATCGTTTTGTTGTGAGCATGGCACTAAAAGAAATGAGTCCAAATGAGGATTCGAGCTTTAGATCATCAGATTCTGCACTGCAGTGCTTTACCCCTGAACTGCAGAGAACTTTATGGCGATCGAGGCTATTACAAGGTTCATACAACTGGCGTCTCGCATACTGCTAGGATCAGCAGTGTCGAAAGGGTTGGGTGGGTAAATAGAATAACAAAGAAGGTCACGTATTAAGGGGAGATGACCGAGCTCAAAACTTGCCATCCTTCTAAGGGCGGTTTCTCACCATGTTCCACTGCCGTGATGGTTTCATAATTTTTCTTTTCGGGGAGACAGTTAAAAGGTTACTTATAATAAGAATGTTTTCCTATTTAAAAGTTGTTTTAAATTGGGTGGAGAGAGTAATGCCGTTTTGCATTTGTTTTAACTTCGCTATGTCTGATTGGTTCAGCAAACTTGCGCCACCCTCAGCGTTTTCCTCATTTTAGCGTTAAGTTTTCATTGGCTCTTTTTGAAATCTACCTTTGTTCTGATTGGCCATCGTTGTCTGGTTTTGGTTTTCACGACATCCAATAGGAAAGCATCTCCTTTTCTAACACAGGAAAGCAAGTGACGAAGACGATGAAAAAAACAAAGCCGATAAGAAGGAAAAAAGAGATGCAGAAGAGAGTAAAAAACAACAAGAAGATGGGATTAAAGAAAACCACGAAAAGAATGGCGATCAAGAGAAAGACGGAAACAAGGACAAACCGGATAAGAAAAATCGAAAAGATTCAAAAGAAAAGTCACAGTAATTTCAGCAGCCGGTGGAAAAAGTAATATCAAATTGCATTGATTTGTTTTTTATAAGCGCCGCAGCTATATTTGAAGTAATCGTATTAAGGTTCTCTTCCTTGAATGAGGAGGGTGAAGGGAAGGGGGTGTCCTGCTCACGTTTCACGCATATTAGAAAGTAGAAATAACGCATCACGCAACACATAATCCCTCTTCACGCAAAAACTTTAACACCTGAATGTTTCATGTCTAGGTGGTTTCTGACATTTTTGGAGTTTTCCCCTTTTTTAAAGGCTTTTTACGCGGGCCACGTAAGCTACTCTTTCTGTGAACATACGGAATTGTTCTTTAAGTTTTACCTTTCTAACATCAAATATCGGAAAGACTTGTCTCAACTTATGCAATAGATTTCTTTGTTGGCCAGTCTGGAGAATTTGGCGTTGTATCAAGACAATGTTCCACAGTTTATAGAGTTCTTAGCTCTCATTAATGTGTCGGTGCATAATGTATTCTTAAGGGTTAAGAGAGCCTTCGTTTTACAAGCAAGGCAAAGCCCTAGTCATACAAGGTAATTAGTTAGACAGTAATAAAGCAGTTTTTAATGGAGTGCCGAAAGTAATCCAGAATTGTGTTTGTTTTGCTTCAGGACAGTCTTCGATTGGTCTAGAAAACTCGCGCCACCCCTCTCGACCAATAAGATTTAAAACTTAAGCTAATCGCGACTTTAACACGTGCGTTTTCCCGCGCTCTTGGTAGTTTGTATGTCTTTACTGTGAATGGTTGACGATGATGTCACCCTTTTTTATGATCAGCCGTTGTGATTACTCGGGTTTTTGCATTCGAAATGGAGTTTGCTATGTGTAAACATGTTAGGTCAGCGGCAATTACATCCAGGTTGCAACTCCACATATTTGTTTTAATCATCACCGTCATCACGAGCACTGTCATATCTGCTTGCACTGATTTATCCACAAACTTTCGGAGGTGGATAATAAAAACAANTACTTTTCTATAAGGAAATACCCAGAACTATCATTTTTGCTTGAATAACTAGAATAGGTGTTTAAGTCAAGCTCTATTTTTCTCAGTGGATGGCGACTATTCAGAGTGGACAGAATTTAGTGAATGTACAGTAACATGCGGAGGAGGTGTTCACCAAAGGACACGTGATTGTAATAACCCTGCGCCAGATAACGGAGGTCAGAATTGTGAAAGACTGGGTCCAGCGATGGAGTCTGAGCAGTGTAACGTTAAATCTTGTCCCACAAAGGCCGCAGAAAATCAAGGGTAGATTAGCAACTTGGTCCCAAGCCTAAAGGTATTCATCGTTTTGTTGTGAGCGTGGCACTAAAACAAATTGAGTCCAAATGAGGAATCGAGCTTTAGATCTTCAGATTCTGCACTGTCGTGCTTTACCTCTGAACTGCAGAGAACTTTATGGCGATCGAGGCTATTACAAGGTTCATATAACAGGCGTCTCGCATACTGCTATGATCAGCAATGTCGAAAGGGTTGGGTGGGTAAATAGAATAACAAAGAAGGTCATGTACCAAGGGGAGATGACCGAGCTCAAAACTTGCCAACCTTCTAAGGGCGGTTTCTCACCATGTTCCACTGCCGTGATAGTTTCATAATTTTTCTTTTCGTGGAGACAGTTAAAAGGTTACTTATAATAAGAATGTTTTCCTATTTAAAAGTTGTTTTAAATTGGGTGGAGAGAGTAATGCCGTTTTGCATTTGTTTTAACTTCGCTATGTCTGTTTGGTTCAGCAAACTTGCGCCACCCTCAGCGTTTTCCGCGCTTTAGGCAGCATCTTCATTTTAACGTTAAGTTTTCATTGGCTCTTTTTGAAATCTACCTTTATTCTGATTGGCCATCGTTGTCTGGTTTTGGTTTTTACGACGTTTAATAGAAAAGCATCTTCTTTTCTAACACAGGAAAGCAAGTGACGAAGACGATGAAAAAAACAGAGCCGATAAGAAGGAAAAAAGAGATGCAGAAGAGAATGAAAAACAACAAGAAGATGGGATTAAAGAAAACGATGAAAAGAATGGCGATCAAGAGAAAGATGGAAACAAAGACAAAACGGATTAGAAAAATTGAAAAGATTCAAAAGAAAAGTCATAGTAATTTCAAATTGCATTGATTTGTTTTTTCTAAGCGACGTAGCTATATTTGAAGTAATCGTATTAAGGTTCTCTACCTTCAATGTGGAGGTGAAGGGAGGGGGGTGTTCTGCACACGTTTCACGCATATTAGAAAGTAGAAATAACGCATCACGCAACACTTAATCCTGCTTCACGCAAAAACCTCTTTAACACCTTTTGAATGTTTCATATCAAGGTGGTTTCCGAAACTTTTGGAGTTTTCCCCTTTTTTAAAGGCGTTTTACGCGGGCCACGTAAGCTACTCTTTCTGTGAACATACGAAATTGTTCTATAATTTTTACCTCTCTGACTTCGAATATCGGAAAGACTTGACTCGACTTATGCAATAGATTTCTATGTTGGCCACTCTGGAGAATTTGGCGTTGTATCAAGACAGTGTTCCACAGTTTATAGAGTTGTTAGCTCTCATTAATGTGTCGGTACATGATGCATTCTTAAGGGTTAAGAGAGCCTTCGTTTTACAAGCAAGGTAAAGCCCTAGTCATACAAGGTAATTAGTTAGACAGTAATGGAGCAGTTTTTAATGGAGTGCCGAAAGTAATCCACAATTTTATTTGTTTTGCTTCAGGACAGGCTCTGATTGGTCTAGAAAACTCGCACCACCCCTCTCGACCAATAAGATTTAAAACTTAAGGTAATCGCGACTTTAACGCGTGCGTTTTCCCGCGCTCTTGGTAGTTTCCATGTCTTTGCCGTGAGTGGTTGACGATGATGTCACCCTTTTTTATGATCAGCCGTTTTGATTACTCTAGCTGGTTTTTACATTCGAAAAGGAGTTGGCTATGTGTAAACATGTCAGGTCAGCTGCAATTACATCCAGGTTGCAACTCCACATATTTGTTTTAATCATCACCGTCATCACAAGCACTGTCATATCTGCTTGCACTGATTTATCCACAAACTTTCGGAGATGGATAATAAAAAAATTGCAACGGCTCTCAGTTAACCTTGCAGAGGTATTTATGAAGTTAATTATTTATGAATTATAGATCACGCTAAGGAAACGTACTCAGCATACTTTTTCAAACTGACCGTGTCTTCAACAGTATATCTCATTTCTTACTTGATGTTTATTTAAATAAGAAAGATAAACAATTTTGACAAATTTGGTCAACGTTTACTAAGTAATTATCAACTATGACAATGCTATATACATATTTACAAAATCATTTAAGAACGAAGTTCTTGAAATTGAAAACATCGTTCATTTAGACGTTGTTGTTTGATTAATTTGCTTACGAAATTTTTAAAAAGGCGATGGAATGTAACGATTTCAAAGTAACAATCAACGCCTGGCTTTAAAATTTTAAGGAATTGGAGAGAGTTAAGCTTGGGTCGCCATTATTGAAGTAATCTGTAGGATGAAAAGAGAATCACAGTCAATGTCTCGATTTTAAAACAAACGAAAGCAAAGTCAGCACAATGCTAAATTATTGACGGTTTTATGGCTGTAAATTTAGTGGATAGCTATGCACTTACTTCAGTAGTATGATCCGAACCATTTGTTAAAAGTTCTGCTCAAGAATCCTTGTTCTGAAGGGAAAAA